GGGAGGGGACCCCCGAGCCTCAGGGCCAGATCCAGGCAAGCTGGGGGCCACATTCAGCCTCTGGGCCTTAGAGCAGGGGTGGAGAAACTAACCACTGGGCATGGTAGCAATAGACAATCCAGCCTTATGACACCCGATGGCCACGTAACCCTACGCAGCCTCTCGTGGGCCAAACAGATTCTACATATTTTAATAAGATGATAAGGATCTTGTATTGACTTAACGTGCTGGACGTATGTAGACAGACGCAGCCTATGTATAGAACTGCCTAGTTAAAAACCCAGAAATCCAGGCCTGACATCTGCATGTGACTGTAATGAATCCGCTATTGGGGTACAGTAATTCCTCATTTAACACGTGCCCGCTTTACACGTTTTCACGATAGCACGATTTTTTTTTTTAAGGGAACGGTTTTTGAATTGCACGACCGTCCCCGGAATAACACGATTTCCCCAGCTGGCCCGTCGCCGGCGGCTGCATGAGGCTTCCCCCGCCTCCTTGCAAAGTGGCGGAGAGTTTGCCGCTTGCTGCGCCGTTCCCCGGCAAGCCCCGTCCTCCCCCCCTCCGGCCAGATGCAGTGCGGGTCCTGGCAGACCCATCACAGGGGCATACTCCCAACCCAATACCCCTCCCCTCCCCTTCTCTTCCCCAGAGCCAAACACCTCCCCTCCCTGCTGTTACCCAGTCCCCTTTCTCCCCCAACCTTATGTCCCAGTCCCCCACCTTTTACATTATTTTCAGTGGGAAAATTGACTCCTCATAACAAGTTTTCACTTAACACGATCATTTTCTGAAACATCTCTACAGTGTTAAATGAGGAATTACTGTTTTTAATTGAACTAGGTCGCAGGCCTTTTTGTGGGGGCTGTAGGTTGGGCACCCCAGTCTGGTGTTAGCTGCGTAACACAGGCCCTGAAGTTCATGCCTTATGCTGGGCCTATTGACTTCAGTCCAACCAAAGCATTTTGGGTCTCGGGGTATCACTGTTACACCCTGTAGCGTGGTGGCCCAGTGGAGTCCTGGCCCGTGACCTATGGGCTGCATAGCTGCATCTTAACCCTTCCTCTCCTCGTTGTTAGATTCATTGAAGCTGCCATTGAGAAGCTGAGCAAACGACACAACTACCACATCTGTGTGTACGACCCCCGAGGGGGCAGGGACAACTCCCGGAGACTGACTGGCCACCACGAGACGTCCAGCATCTTCGAGTTCTCGGCCGGGGTGGCTAACAGAGGGGCCAGCATCCGTATCCCCCGCCAAGTGGGCCAGGACGGCTGTGGACTGCGACCCCTATGCTGTCACAGAGGCCATCGTGAGGACGACGTGTCTCGACGAGACCGGGATGCAAACCACAGACTATCCAGACAAATGAGGCCTTGCGGGGAGGGGTTGATTCTGAACGAGTTTTTCATGTCGGTTCTGTGAAGCTATAAAGTCCAGACTCTCTCTCTTTTTTTTTTTTTTTTTAAGAACTTTGCTTCTGGTCTCGTGAAATGGGGGCTTAGACAAATATTTCTGGATGTGTTTTGCGGGGGAGGGAGACTCTCTGTTTCTCAACAAAACTTCTGGTTTCACATCACACATGGGGGTTTTTAAACTTCAGTGTCGTGTTTTTTAATTGACGTTTTACTGTGATGTACGTGAACTCCTGTGTGAAAGCTGCTGCCGTGGAATCTGTTAACTCATCCCTCCTTCCCCACCCCATAGTTACGGTTTAGGAAACCAATAAATAGTCTTATTGGCTGACATCAGCCAGTCTCTGCTACACGCTTTTGTTGCATTTTTTTTCTAGAGTTTCTCCACAGATTTAATTCTGGGATCACCTCGTCAACCTCTCCTACGCAGCCTCCTGTGGGGTGACACAGGGCAGCTGCTAGATCGTGTACACTGGGAATGGCCCTAAGGAATTGTGCTGATTAGGGAATTTGTTGGGGAGGGGGAGAAGATACCTGTTCCAAGCCTAACTGCAGGGGGATTTTGGTAGCAGCATGTGGCTGCTTGTGATGGGATCTGACCGAGACAACGAAGCAGCCTTGACGATAGAGATCCCATGATACTTATGACCAGAGGTGGTCAGGACCTCTAAGAACATGAGAACAGCTGTTCTGAGTAAGACCAAAGGTCCATCTAGCCCAGTGTCCTGCCTAAAACCAGATGCCCCAGAGGGAGGGAACACAACAGGTAATCCTCATGTGATCCCTCCCCTGTCATCCGTTTCCAGAGAAACAGAGGCTAGGGCCACCATTCCTATTCATCCTGGCTAATAGCCATTGATGGACCATGAATCTATCTAGCTCTTTCTTGAAGACTGTTAATCCTGGTCTTCACAACATATCCTCTGGCAAGGAGTTCCACAGGTTGACTGTGTAGTAAGTGAAGAAAAACTTCCTTTTGTTCGTTTTAAACTTGCTGCCTATTAAAACCTCTGAGTTTCTTGGCTGACAGGCAGCGTTAGAGCACCATGCTGGGATATTGGTCCTACAAACCTTCAGTAATTCTGCTTCTTGCGGCTTCTCTCTTCCTGGAGGGCCCAGACCTGACCCCGTAACCATGGACAGGACATGCGGGAGAATCGCTGATGGGACCTGGCACGTGCAGTGAGGTCTCGCGGGATGCTTGCTGGCGCTCAGACCTTGGCCATGCACCTCCACGCAGCCTGTGGCGGCTGGAAACGAACTCGAGGCAGGTGGTGCCTGACTGGAGTGAACGGGACGGTATCTTGAGCCAAGAGAAGACGTTGCTTCCTGCCTGCTCTCCGGAGGGGAACAAGACCAGTCCCAGTGTGGGTCCATCCCAGCCTATTAACACCTCATCCGCCCCCCCCACTTGTGCAGAG